CATGGATATCGGCATGTCCTTTGATGGTAACACAGACCATGGATATCGGCATGTCCTTTGATGGTAACACAGGCCATGGATATCGGCATGTCCTTCGATGGTAACTCAGGCCATGGGCATCAATACAGCCCCAGGCTGCGGCTGGACCACGTTCTGTCCCTGTATACTTCTTTCCCCTATCCTTACAGGTATCAATTCCTTGACTCTACCTCCCAAGAAAAGTGTAATGAATGTCATCTAAAAGCAAGTTTGATGAGTCCCATTAGAGACCTTCAACACACTAGGATATGGTGCTTTGAATAAGAATGGCCCTCATAGGCTCATATATTTGAATGTTTAGTCACCAGGGAGTGACTATTTGAAAGGATTAGAAGGATTAGGAGGTGTGGCCTTGTTACAGGAAGTATGTCACTGTGGGTGGGCTTTGAGGTTTCAAAAGCCCATGCTAGGTCCAAACTCTCTCTGCCTATGGATCAGGATGTGGCTCTTAGCTTCTTCTCCAGCACCATGTCTGCCTGCACACCATTATGCTCCCTCCATGATGATAATGGACTGAACCTCTGAAACTGTAAGCCAGCCCCAGTTAAATGTTTTCTTTCCTAACAGCTGCCTTGGTCACGGTGTCTCTTGACACAATAGAACACTGACTAAGACTCAGGGGAAAGTCACCCATAATAAATGCATTACCCCTTTTACAAAGGTACAATCACCACCAAGACTCACAATAGGCAACATCGAAGCATTCTGGGAAGTAAAGGAACACAACAGAGATGAAAATGTTCTGTTTTGAACTCAGAAGACCCACTGTACTCAGTGTGAGTTAAAATAGAAGACAGATGGGCTTCATGCTGATAACAATTACAACAATGATTGACATGCTGAGACACATGCTTCCGGCAAGCTCTATTTTGGTTCTTACCTGAGACCAGCCAGGTGGGTGACATCACAGTTACCATTCTGTGCTTTGGGGAACTGACCTGCAGAGAAGCGTGTAGTGTTACTCACAGCTGCACAGACCTTCCATTGTCAAGTTAACATAAAGAGATTTCTTCTTCTAACTTGTACAAAACTGCACGCTGTTTGAGTCTGGTAAGACATTATACTTCTTGTCTAAATATGACTATGAAAATGTGACATGGAAACTTCATCCTTATCTAGGTGCTCCACGGCTCACAAGGATACTAAACCGTAATTTGTGACATAAAGAAAATGTCAGTAAAGAGTTAAAAAAATCTGACTCTTCTATTTCAGGCCTCATTTTATTTAGGTAATGAAGGCTTTGGGCCCCAAGATAGAAAGCCTTTGGCACTCTGCCTGGAACATGCTACAGTTTCAAGTATTAGGAGGGAAGTGATGGCAGAGGTTAATTTGGGACCTTGGCTTGCGGCCACAGCTCATGTGGCTTCTGAACTGAGAATGTGGTGTCGATGCTGGGCTGGGTTGCTCCCTCCCGGAGTGTCAGAGGTCTGTGAGGAGAAGGCAAAGGGATGGTGTGGGTCAAAGGGAAATCACATATCCTAAAATAATTGAAAGAACAGCTCCTGGGCACCAGGACCCTGGAGGGGTGGAGTCTCGTGCCAAGAGGCATTTCAGGAGAGCAGGAGAGGCAGGGCAGAGACCAGCAGAGACCAGCTGGGGCTGGGCACCAGGCAGCATGACGCTGAGAGAAAGTGTCTTCAAAGAGGACACTGCTTCCTGAGACAGACAGGTTAGGGACCTAGCACAGTGACAGCGAAGACCCCCAGTGGAGGTGTGTCCCTGACCACAATTCTTAGCCGAAGACACAAAGGAAAGCTGCCAGCTTCACCAGTCCGGAAGAGTTCATTGAAATAGTTAAATTCCAGGGACTCGTACGGCGGCAGGAGCTTTCCCCAGCAAACCACAGACAGCCAAACCGCCTCATTACAGGCCTCTGCAGTCCTAGAAGCCGAGTGCCCGATGAGCCTCTGTTTTCAGAAAGGAAGGAGGGGAAGCGGATTGGGGGCATTGGTTCCCGTTGTTGTTGGTGTTGGTTTCATTGATATAATTTCACCTTTTATGCAGAATTATCGATGCAGTCCATGAAGGCCAAGTTGGGAAGAGAGACACAGAGCTGGCTGTCCTGGGCCGGCTTCAGCACACCACAGGGCTGGGCTGGCACTTGGGGGTTTTACTGGTACATGCCATGAAATAGAGACGCTATTCCTATAGCTCAGTTGGTAGAGTGGTTACCTAGCATGTATGGAGCCCTGGGCTTGATCCCCAGCATCCTGCTGGGTGTTGTGATTCACACCTGTTATCCCAGCACTCAGGAGGTAGAGACAGGAGGATCAGAAGTTCAAGAACATCCTTAGCCACACAGCAAGTTTGAGGCCAGCCTGGGATCCATGAGATCCTGCCTCAAAAAGTAATTAATAAACACCTAATGAGAAGGTGACTTTGTGATAGTCTCAGTACTAATTAGACATTCCCACAGTATCCAAACCTTGATCTTGATATGGCTTAGAAAATTAGATGTTTCTACGAAACTTTCTATAAATGTTGCTAAAAATTCCTTGGTTGTTTTATACCAAATAAAACCCTCTGGGTAAGGTTTCAAATATATCTGAAAATTACTTGTAAAGCTATTAGGGAGATGACAAAATGTAATTTAGATATAATTGTGCTACTCAAATCCGTTAATTAAAATATGCTAATGTCTTCTATGAGTCATTTTTGTGGAATATAAGCAATGTTTTAAAGCTATTTGACTACGTAAATTGTTCTAACGACATTCTCGATCCAAACTTCTGAAAGTTTCCGATAATTCTTGTAATTAATTTGGCTATAGTTACAGACATCATTGAGTTTCTAAAACACGACACAGTAAATATTTACTCCAATAATTTAAAAACTAGAGCTCAGTCTTAAAGATGCCTCTCATAAAGAGAGAAATGATGGCCAGCGGGATGGCTCAGTGGGTAAGCATTTGCTGGCAAGCCTGAGTTCAGTCCTTGGGCTGCACTGTGGAAGGAGAGAAATGGCCCTCGAAAGTTGCCAGCCTCCACACGCACACAGTGGCCCACGTGTCTCCTTCTCAGTCACGCAAAATAAATACACAGAAGTGTAATAAAAATCTTAAAGAGAAATGACAGCATCTGCTCCCAAACACAGTTTCATGAGTCGGAACCTTGAAGTCCTGTTTGTGGATTCTTATTTTTCACTACTTCACTGGCCCGCCCACCCAGTATGGCCTCTCTCTGCCTTGCTCCAGTGTGGGGAGTTAGACATGCGAGTCATCACCTGCCTTTCCTGGTCACTGGCTCCAGCTGAGTTTGTCAAATGCAAAGACATGACACACAAGAGATGTCACACAAGATGACATTAGGACACCTCTTCCCCTTCTTCCAGGCCAGCTCCTTTCCACTGGGCCACTTGGTCCCCAGGAACAGCCTCCCTCTCCACCTCTTCTGAAGGAAACGTCAGTGGCTCTGCACTGCTGGTCCCTGGGCCCCTCATCTTTCCCGACTTCCCCTTCGACCCCGCCCTCACCTTCAGCACATCCCTATATTTGACCATCTGGAGTGAATACTTCTGTTGGGCCCTGTGTCTTTCATTTGTGTTTTATACAAGCTGTAAATGAAATTCTGGGGTGGCGGCTGCTCTCTGTGTATACACCTTGCCTTCTTCCTTGGGAGAGAGATGTGTAAAGCCTTGCATGGTGTGAGTACTGGCCAGTCAGATTAGTCGCTGGTTTATGAGATGTTCTATTGCATTCTGGGCCAATATTAGACCTTTTTGATACCACAGAACTGAATCCCGAGATATTGAGGCTGAATGAAGAGGAGAAAACTGATATAATCTTAGAAGGGATGTATGGGTGGCTTCTGTGGCCAGGATGATGCCCTGCCCCCCAGCCTATCATTGTTTCTATGGTTTCTCCTGCTTGAACTGGTTTTCATCAAAACTGATTTTCTCACTGCTTTCTCTTTGTGATGTGGCACATTTGTAACCCTACACCTCAGAATTAGGAAAGATAACACAGAAGTGGTACCCAAAGGTTAGAATTATCAGGGGCACTGGAGACCATCTTGGGGCTACTTCCACAGCCTCGTTCTGTTGGTCTGATGTGGGACAACATGCTCTCTGTGAGCCTGAGCCTGCTGGTCTAGAAACCTCCTTTGAAAACTGCTGCCATGAACATCTGGAACATCCATCACATGGTCTCTGTTGAAAAGCATTTGTTTACTGAAAACATAAATCACCTTTCTCAAGACTTATCCTTTGAGCCTTATTTTGGGAATATATTATAAAGAATCCTGGGAAGGCAGCTGTTAAAATATTCATATATATATATATATATATATATATATATATATATATATATATATAGAGAGAGAGAGAGAGAGAGAGAATTAATTTGCTTGCCACTACAAAGACTAAAAGTCTCTGTGTTCATGCACATGCTTGTGTGTGTGCAAGTGAAGGTGTGTGCCTCCGCATGCTTGTGGAGGTCAGTCTTTATCTTCTACTGTGTTTGAGACAGATCTGTTGTTCATTACACATATATAGCTGGCCTGTGAATTTTCAGGGAAGTTCTCTCTGTCTGTCTGTCTGTCCCTCCCATTTTGATGGAGGAACACTAAGATACAAACACACATTTCCACGCCCAGCTTATATAGGTCCTAGGGATCTGAATTCCCGTCTTCAGGCTGGTGACAAGCACTTTACCCACTGAGACATCCCCCCAGCCCTCCAAAGATGTGTTCTAATGACTTAATTCCTGTTGGAAATGACCTGTTGCCATTTTCTGAGAAAACGGGTCAGACAATAAGTCAGTAAGTCACTTTCAATGTTCAATAATTTTCATATTTCTTTACTCTAAGTAGAGGAAGAAGTAAAAAAGACAAAGGGGGAAAAAGCCAGTTACAACATTAATGGACTTGGAAACTCAGCATAAGGCAAACCTGGGAAGCTCTTTGCTGGTAAAATAACCTATCATCACAAAACAGTGAGGTTAACCTATTACAGTCATTTGTAAATATTCTAGGAAACCTTAAGAATGAAAATTGGGGTGAAGAGATAAGCCCTAACTTTAAATCATAAATACTTCCTTTTCTCCAAGCCAGCTCACAGCAGGAGGAACCAGGGAGCTAGGGGTTCTCGACCTGACCAAGGACACCACCATCTTGGAAAATGGATGGAGTTGTTACATCCGGGCATGTGGTCCAGCTTAGGGTCAGGACACGATTCTTATTGGTGTTCCAGTGAGACTGCCTGAGGAATGTCCTGTTCAATTAGCTTCAAAACTCCGACTTTAAATGGCCACCCTCTATTGATCTCAGGCGGCTGTTGGGAAAGTGAAGGTTGAAGCTGCGATCCTCAACACGAAGGGGCAGCTGTGGCAGCAAGGTACGGAACAACCCCAGTGCCGACGAGCCTGACGATTTTCTTGGGCAGGGACCTGGTGTTAGAGACAGAGAGAGAGCATATCCAGCCCCCATCTCCCTGCCTGGCCTCAGGCGACAGCTTGCCTATCACACTGCAGGGGCCACACGTTAACCAGGCCCCACGGCCCTGTCCAGACAAAGAGTGACCTCTCTCCCCAGCCTCCGTCACGGGTCACATTTAGCCAAGCCTGCTTCGTTGCCCTGCAAACGTCCCCCATCCCTTGAAAACTATTAAAAGTGGACACCTCGCTTTGTTTAGTGAGGCTGAAATGCTCCCTCAGACCTATGCTGTACCAGCGTCACGGGTCACAGGAAAATACTATAAGAACTCAGCTGGTTATGGCAAAGCCACTACCTGGAGGGTGTTGTTGTTCTCTCCAGGTTCCACCAAGCCCCGCCATCCCATAATCCACGTATAAAATAATCACTCAGACGCTTATATCACTTATAAACTGTATGGCCGTGGCAGGCTTCTTGCTAACTGTTCTTTTATCTTAAATTAACCCATTTTTATAAATCTATACCTTGCCACCTG